GAGAGAGAGAGAGAGAGTACTTACGTGCCAATTGCTGAACAGAGGATACAGCGAGAACAACGACAGTATGACGAAGAAGGAGATGAGCAACAAGACGCTGGTGAAGTAGAGCCCCAGTCCAACCGACTCCGTGCCAATGTCCTGCGGGTGTGCTGATAGCGCGAATTGCTGTCTCAAATCGAAAGTTATCATGTTGTCCCTGCCTCGCGGATACTTGTACAGCATGTTCTTCTTGCCCTTCTCTATGGCCAACTCGCGATTCGGCGCTGGGTTGTACCTCTCTCCTATAAACCCCCAACCCGACCCACCACGGGCTCTCGCTGGAGATGCCATCGTTCTTCCCGAATGTGATGTGCCCTTCTCCTCCCCTCCGCCCCCGCGTTGTCTTCCAAGAGTATTCTCCTCTCTCTCTCTCTCTCTCTCTCTCTCTCTCTCTCTCTCTCTCTCTCTCTCTCTCTCTCTCTCTCACNTCTCTCTCTCTCTCTCTCTCTCTCTCTCTCTCTCTCTCTCTCTCTCTCTCTCTCTCTCTCACACACACACACACACACACACACACACACACCACGCACACACACACAATACTTTCACAGTTGCCTCCCACCCTCTCTCCTTTCCGCAGCGGACCGGTCGCTGCCACCGAGTGGTGTTTCCGAGCTATCACCTCTCTCTCCTTCCTTTCCTCTCTCACAGCACCCTTTCTCCTTCCCTCACAATAGTGTCCAGTCCCTCGCAAACCCCTTCCCAGCCCCCCCCCATTCCTCACAGCCCCTCCAGAGGACAGGTTTACGGCGATCTGGAGAGGCTCAGACGCTTACTTCCTTACTTCACCACGCCCCCGTACCCCCCTACCTCAGCCCACTCTTCCCCTGTGCAAAACCTCCCACGCGCCTGGCAACGTCTCACAGACAGTCCCGAACTCGCACTGAAGGTAACCCTCAGGGCATATTCACGCTCTTTGATTTGGAAATTTCCCCCCATGTATCTGGCTTCCACTGATGGCCAGATTCACTCCCCAAACTCCTCATGTGTATGTGGCCTTACCTCTCCGCTCTCCATGCTGCCCTCTCTCCTCCACCCCGACTCGTCCACTACAAACAGAACAGAAAGAGAGAGAAAAAAAAGGAGAGAGAGAGAGAGAGAGAGAGAGGTGGGAGCGACTGGCGAATTTATCGTTTCCCGCAATTAGAGAGACGATTCATCCTTTCTTGTTATGCCCTCCTCCTCCATCCCTCGAGGGTACTTGAACTTCATCTGGGCAAAAGGTGCGGTTCAACTTCCTCCCCCGTCCCGATTTCATAAGGACATACTGACATAGTAAAAAAGCTAGGAATTTCCTGAATGTATCGGATGTCAATTCCGACTAGATTCAGTCCGATAAAATTAGAAAAGTACGTTCAATATGAGTCCCCGCTCTTAGCCTACCCTCATCAGATTTGCCCTTCTTCTTCCTCTCCCCTCTACACCCTCCCGTCCCCCTTGCTCTCCTTCCTATTTTTTAAAGCTTGCTCTCCTTCTTTTTTTTTTTTTTTTTTTCTCCTCCTTCTTTTTTAAAAGCTTGCTCTACCCAGAAGTGAGGGAGGATTGTCGGTGGGCCGCAAGGCAGTGTTAGATGGAAAGCCCCCTGAGGATGATCGGAGCGCAATCCCCCCTTCAGATCGAAACGCGTCGGGGATTGTGCGCGTGAGCTGAGATGAGTATGCGCAGCTTTGTAATGAAGTGCTTTCTCGAAGCGTGTACGAAAGGCAGTTGGCCACTGTTTCCACTATTGTGCTTCTTCGTCTATCCTCCTACTCCTCCTATCCTCCTGCTTGTGTCCCTGCAGATCGTCCGAGTGATGAACTTGGACGTATCGGACGTGAATTCCGGCTTGATTCAGGCGAAAAAGCACAAGTGTGAACGGCACCCCGTTGCAGAATCTCTCCATTTATGCGTGTCATCCTTGCGCGGGGGCCATGCTAGGATGTCCCGAAGGACTTGCAGAATCTCTCTACTATCGATCTCAGGTCACACTCACAAGGAAAGGGTTTTCATAAATGTACCTAGGGCACAATGGAGTCCAGATTCAGCCGCGAGTGCCGTCAGCTCACGGTGTGTTCTTCAGGCTTCAAGTTCTTTCATCTACTCCTCCAATTGCGACACAGAGGCCAGTCAGAGTGAGCATCCTCAGACTGGAACTTTTCTGCATGCATGTGAGCGCATTTACGTCCATATTCAGTTGAAAGAGTAAATGCACGTGAACGTAATTACGTCCACATTTAGTTGAACGAGTGGATGAATGTGGCCGTAGTTACGCCCCGATGCATGCGAGCATCTGCTTCTCGCAGGATTCTCAATGCATTATCATGGGAACAAGTGAAGCTCTGCTGGCTTTCCACGATTTCGACAAAAGACCTCTCCTCCTATCTCCGTACCAAAGTGTGGTTGAGTGTGGACGTAGTTACGCCCCGATGCGAGCGAGCCACCTCTCCACTCCTCTCCTCACCTCTCTCCTCTCCTCTCCTCTCCTCTCCTCTCCTCTCCTTCTTTGTGTCATCCTTGCGCAGGGGCCATGCTAATCTTCTCTGTATAGTTCCTATTTTAAGAGATGTCCCCAAGGAAACTCTTTCCTCCTTTCCAACAGACGACCACCCCCTCCAGCTGTGCGGTATGAAAAACAAGAAAAGGATTGCGCTCTGCTGTCTCTCTTCAAAGCGCTGTTCCTTTGCCGTCCTCGATCGGGAACTCCTCACGTGTTCGCAGAAAATAAACACACTCCCTCCCTCTACTTCCTCCCTCTCTCTCTCTCCTCCCTCCTCACGTGTTCGCAGAAAATAAACACACTCCCTCCCTCTCCTTCCTCCCTCTCTCTCTCTCCTCCCTCCTCCCCTCTCTCTGTAATTGGCGTAGGGCTAATACGAGGCGATAGCGGGCAGACAAGGCTAAGCCTGTAGTCTTGTCGCGTGACCCTTGTCACGCCTTGTCACGCGACAAGAAAGGCCCGCGTTTTGTTACCAGACAAAGACAACTCGTTCCTCTTCGTTGCTTGTAAAGCCAAAAGACAACCGAGTGTGGCAGTGCCCTGCGGCATTGCGCGCGAATCCGCTCATTTTTGCCGCCGGTTCGTGTCCTCGGCACCTCCGAGGGCGGCGGAGATTTCCAATTGCTCGCCCAAAAACACACGCGGAAGCCTACGGTAGCCTCCGCACTGCCCCGTCCTGCGGGGATTGTACCACGTCGCGCGCGCGATATTCGACTCCGAAGAGCAGCCAGAGGAGGACATCTGGCGCGCATGCACGAGAACTCAGAACAGAGAAGATTAGAATGGCCACTGCGCAAGGATGACCCGCATAAATCGAGAAAAAGAAAAAGAAAAAAAAAAAACTCAGAACAGAGAGAGCACACTACCGGTCGGACCTTTTTTTTTTTTTTTTGGCCTACTAACCAGGGGGATACTCAACCTTGCACTCCTCATAATTCCAACTGCATTTACCTCTCTTAATACCTGGCAGCATGATAGCCAATACTTACCTTTTTTTTTTATGTGGTCCGATGGCGGATCAGATATTAAACGGATCAAAGCAGATACTACACTTGATCTTAGCCAAAAGGCCGAGAAAGGTATAGCCAATACTTACCATAAGGCCTGTCTCTGTCACCTATACACAGTAAACTATTCTTCGAGTCACGGGACCCGACACAGTTAATCAGATTTAGAATGACAACCAATTCGAGATTTGAACAGACTAATATCAATGCAGCTGAAAAAGGACACTATATCAGTCACAGTTGCAGCTTCCAACTTCCATCCTTACTCTAACGGGACCACAGACTCCTGAGATCTATTGCGAACTCAGTCCTGGCTGTTGATCCCTACATGGTAATAGCCATCTGGCAGGAACCAGCTTTTGTTCTGGTGAGACATCTGCTAGTTTTTTCCCGTTAGCCCAGGTCTTCCTAAACCACAGCTTATCAGTTCTATTTGTCCAGTCTCCTCTTATAGCAGTCCTGATATGACTCAGTACTTGATGCTTTTGTTGCTCGCTTGGAGTTGGTTCCTTTCGAAAGACTTGGTTGTTGCGGGCCGACCAGATCACCTGCATTATTGCTCTCCTCCAGACAACTGCCACATATCCCCACCCCTCTACAAGGTGAGTATCAGGTGGGTGTAGTCCGAACAATATCCAGTTATCTGTCCAAGGAAAAGTGTCTACCAGGCCCAAATCTGTCTGGCCAGGGGACATTCCAGCCACAGATGGGCATCTGTCTCCCAACTCCAGTTGCACCGGCTGCAGGCTTCTGCGATATTCATCTTCCTGGATTTCAGCCAGGTTGCAGTTGGAGTCAGGAGCATTGATTTCAGCTGGCTTGCTTTTCTGAGGGGATTTTCCTCAGTGCCGCCCAAAACTTGAACAGTGAAAAAATGGCGGCGGACTCAGCAGGGACATAAGCTAAGCAAAAATCTGAAGACACCTGGAAGAATATACTGACTAACCAAAAGACGGCGCCAACGGTCGACCCCCCCCCTCCCTCCTCCTCCTCCAAACCCTCCAATCACACTCCCCCTCAGCTGATCAAAGCCTTGTCAGCACCAGGGGTGGTCAAATCCAGGGAAGCAATGACCTTGGGATCCTTGGTATTCAAACCGGTAAAGAAGTACCAGATGAGAGAGGGTTTCATTTACCCCCACTCTATCTTCCCCGCAGATGCACTTGAAACGCGCAACGCGATGTACTCCCAAAAGGCAGTGCACTTTCGTTTCCCGGAGATACTGTCATCACTCCCGATCATGGATTAACGACAGTGTGACGCCCTACCTCATGCCCTGCGCGACTTCCTGATCGGAGTGGGATGGGGCCCCGGAAGTGCGAAAAAGGGGTGTGCCAAGGATTTGAGGAAAGTGGGGGTGGAGTCTCAGGTCGGAACTGAGATCTCTTGTGGCAAGCTCTAGGGGTATTTATGCAAGATGGTAAGCGTTGTCGATACGAATACCCTTAAAAGGGTATCCACCCTGTTTTTTTGCAAGCAACAGAAAATAAGTTTGGTTTAAGGTTTAAGTATACCGAGCGAGGCGCGCCTGAGGCTATGGTTTACGTGACTAGGTGGATGGCTAAAATAGAGAATGTGTGGGCGCGCAGGCTAGAGGCGCGCGTGATCTTTATTTTTGATAACTGTAGGACCGGCGTGATCGCCGGTCAGATTTATTCTTTTCTGATTAAACTAGGATTTCAAAGATTGTCCTGCGATTGGTGCGCTTGTCTGTGACTTGTGAGTACGTGCGAAGGACGACGTCGACAGCGACATGGTTCGATATAGTCGCGTGGTGGACACGGAAGGTTGGCGGTCGTGAGTTCTGCTGATAGGCCAGTCTGAGGAATTGAAACATTTCGGCAGAACTGCATGCCGCATAGTATCCTTTTATCTAGGTATCCGCTAATACTAGACCCGACCTTGGACCTAGCGCTATTGATTACGACGTTGAACTTTCATCCGGGGGAATTCAGGGAATCGAGGCCAGTGGGCGATGACACGGGAATATTGGAGCGGCGAGAGGAAAACCGACGGGTTGAGGGCCCAGCGGGGCTATCCCCGTGGGTTTGTGGGTTACGGAGTTGGGTGTTGGGGCCAAAGGCGGTATTAATGAGCCCCGTGTTTTCCTTCCTCTCGCCGTGCGACTTTTGTTTCGTAGTAATTGTTCTGTTATTATTATTATTAATATTGCTATCTTTGTAATCTCTTTCAAAGTTGGGCGCGGGCGGTATCGGGACTGTCTCTTATACACATCTAGATGTGTATAAGAGACAGGTATTAATGAGCCCCGTGTTTTCCTTCCTCTCGCCGTGCGACTTTTGTTTCGTAGTAATTGTTCTGTTATTATTATTATTAATATTGCTATCTTTGTAATCTCTTTCAAAGTTGGGCGCGGGCGGTATCGGGATCGATAGTGGTCAATGAGCGTGTCAAATATTGTGGTCAGTCTGGTAGAGTCATTCCCATGGCGGGCCTTGAAGTCCCTACCTCCAAAATCTGCTACTGCCATCCAAATCGGCACCAATGACCGCGCTAAGGGCTTGCAGTGGGCCCGCCCCCTGAATCCGGGATGTGCATATAAGTTGGGAGTGATTTAGTTGCAAAGGAGAAAGAATCAGATTGGCGTAGTCCCCCTACAGTCTGTTCCTCGCAGCTTGCTAAGCGTGGATTGAGCGTAAGCTCTTTGGGGCCCAAAACAAGGGGAGTTGTGCCTGGGCGGAATAGTCCAGGACAGAGTGGCGAACGCCACAGGCTGCGTACAGCAGGGCGGCCACATGGGATTTTCTCTCGCCCCAATTTTTAGAGTTATCAGATTAAGTTTTGCTACTATCGCCAAGGTCTGCACCAAGGTCGCCCCACTCGAGCCCGTGCTTCAACCAGGGCAACAAGGCCGCACCTTGATCCCGCAATCTGCCTCGGGAGACGTGAGCGGGCGTATGCCCGTTGGGGCCCGGGGCGGGACAGAGGGAGTCCAGGAGGAGGCTGCTGTACTGCGGATGCATAGGGGATAGTCGTCGGACTCGGGTGTAGGGACGAAAGACTAATCGAACAGTCTAGTAGCTGGTTTTCCCCGGTGCTTTTCCTTCGAAGGAAAAAGTCAGGGCTACCAGTTGGCGCTAAGTCCTTCGGGACATCCGTTAAAATTGGAACGATACAGAGAAGATTAGCATGGCCCCTATGCAAGAGTGACACGCATAAATCGGGAAGAAAATGCCCGACTGCTTTGTTTTTTTTTAATTATTACCATCGTCTTTTCGATTTGATAGAATATGGCGCAGGGGTATAAGGTGCTGAAGGAAAGTTGCGCTAAACAGTGTTCGGCAGCAAGGGGACGAAGGAGGTGGCGGAAGCTAAATGAGGCGCAACGAGGAAAAGGGGGGCTCGCGCGATTCCTAACAGAATCGGTCGAAGGAGAAGCTGACTCGGACCTCGGCGTTATCAACCACAGCGAGCCAGTCTGGGAGTTTTGCTCAGTTGGGAGATCAGTAGAGAGAGAGATAAATGAGAAAGAGGGAGTGTCGGGCCATGGCAGAGAGA